TGTAATGTGACTGTAAATATAGCAAAGGGAAGGAAGCCCTGCATTTCAGTCATTGTCCAAATGCAATAAGTGAAGGAGTGGAGTGTAAATAGTATTATTTGTGGTCTAGAAGGGATATATTGTGATATAGTAATTGGTGACTGCTGGGTGCAAACAGATTATAAGTGAATAGGCAGAGGACAGGCCAGAGAGTTAAGGCTGTTTTTGAAAACTTGACTCAAACTGTGTTTTCAAAGGGCATTTTGCTGTATTCCATTTTGCTAATGCTGAGTGAGCAAAAAGTCAAAGGCCAAAAATCCTAAGAGAAGGGTATGGGCAGGAACATAACTTGACCAGGGCAGCAGCCCCAGGCACTGCCTTTAAGGTGGAGGCATGCAAAATTAGCTGCCACTGCAGCAGCCAGCCAGGCTGCCATCAGAGCTGTGCAATACCATCAGAATTTCCATGCCCCAGGCACTGCATCTGCTCTGGGCATGGAACTGCCCTGCTATGCTTCTGAGTCCAGGCTGGGTATGTTTACCCTGCCTCAGCTCAAAAAATGAAGCTGCTTCTTGGCAACCCAAGAGTAGCAGGAGCATAACTAGAGTCTTCTAGCTAAAAACGGGAGACTTAACAGGTCTTTCTAGTGCAAACCTGCCCTCACAGAGCTTACAACCTAACTGAAGACAAAATTCAGCAACATAATGTAACAAAGGACTGGAGACAGAAGAAGGATGGAGGGGCAGGGGCACAATGGTGACTGAACAGATAGGTATAGTTACATGGGTTCACTGCAGGATGTTTCTGAAACATTTAAATGCTTTTTCCAAAGCAATTTTCTCTTTAGAAACAAAGTATTGTTGGAACACACAAATATTTAACAGTTCTTAATGATGTCTCAAGCATTCCCCTGCAGAGTTTGCTTTGATTAAGCATTTCCTCAGAGTGTTTTCAATCCTACATCTGAAACACTGAGCAAATGAATAAGAGTGAAAAACAGTAGCTGATGCATTAAATTTATTGTCAAATTTAGCAAAATGCAAAACCCAACAAGTGGTAAAACACATTGTTTTCTTAAAAGAAAAAATACACATCTAATTGTGATACCTTGTATGGTTTTTAACAGGAGCGAGCAATTATTTTGGGAAGAGGGCCGCTTACTGAGTTACGGCAAACCATCAAGGGCCGCATGACAGGCAGCACTGGGCAGATTAATATGAATTTTATAAATTTTTTATGGGCCCCACAGGCTGGATATAATGGCCTGGCGGGCCACATCTGGCCCCAGGCCACATTTTGCCCACCCCTGGTTTTTAACCTGATAATGTTCTTTTAAGAAGATGTATTCAAGGATTCAGAGATTTTTAAGGCCTAGCAGAAGCTAGCATATGGTATTCAGAGGAAGAATTTCACCTAGCAATTCCTTCTCTCAGGGAAGCCCAAAACTTACGGTTCAGAAAGCAAATAGCTTATAGAAAAATATGACAAAGCTGAAAGAAAATGATGGCATTCATCCACAATACCCATTACTGCCATTGTAGACATTTTTCTGTTTTAAAAATTGTGCATCTCAGACTTCATGATCTCCATTTTGTTTGAGCTGGGGGAAAGGATGCAAGCAAGAGGAAGGGAACCACAACTACACACAAAATTCTTTGCTCCCAATACCTATTTGCTCACATGCATTACTGTCAGAGATCTAATTTGTGCAAATAAGGCAAGCAGAACTGGCCTTAATACTTCATTTCAGGATAAAATAGGACAGATGAACAATGAAGCAAGCCTTGGGCTAAATCAGAAAAATAAGCACATTGAAAAACTAATGCACTGAACATATTTGAAAATGTTTCCATATACATATGTGCCTTCCAGTCACTATCATCATCTCTCCAACACCCAGCATAAACACAAAAATATGGGGCAAATGCACAGTAAAAATAATGAATGCTGTATGTCTGGATTGGCAGGCGTTCTTTTCTTAATTCTATGTAGTTTGAAGGTTTAAGCTATTTAAAAGCAATATATACTGTTTTTAACAACTTGGGATTTGGCATTATATTTCTATTAAACATTACTTTTAAATAAAAAGAGCACAAACACATTTTTACTCCTGCTTATTTCTATGATTCATAGAAGGGCAGAACAATTTAAGTGATTGCAGGTAATTCTGAAATGACCACAAATGCCTGAAATTACTGTGCTCAATGCAGTTATTTTGCTATTCAGGTTGAAATGAACTGAATATGTATCCAAATATGGCACATTCCCACTGTACCTGTAGATGACTCTGTTGACACTGCAGGCAGTTCTTTTTAACCATACTGAACAAGCCACTTTTAACTGCTTATTGCATGCTTCTGTTCAGATTCCAGGGTCAGAGGTTGGTTCCTGTTGGACTCCTATCTACCCACATTTTTCCTTACTGTAACCTATCTGCTTTCCATATGGCTGGGTACTGAGTATATGAAGAACAGGCCTGCCTTCTCACTCCGGGGACATCTCCTGATATATAACCTTGGAATCACACTACTTTCTTTATACATGCTCATAGAGGTAAGTTTAACTAAACGTACTGCAGCTAAGAAGGGCAAGCAGCAAGTGATTTTTAACCACAGGAATGTTTATCATCCCCATCTCCAAAGTAAGTTGGACTTATGATTTTAGGTCCATTTCAGCTAAAGCAACATTTGACAACGTGCATTCAATTTTCAGGGACTGTGCATTTCAAACATGCCTGCGCCTCCTTAATTCATCATCCTTCATAAACATCAATTTCTTTTTGAAAGCATAAATATCTGGGGAGTGACTCGTCTTTGTAGGTATACACCACTGTTGTACAAACAAAGAGATGTATGCATGAGTATGCACTAATTATTCATCGTTTGCTATTCATTGTCATCCATTTCCTCCCCTGTCTACAATCTACATTTTTGTCACCTAATCAAGTGGCAAAAACAAAACAAAAGTACACAGGTGACTGATCAAATGCCTAAGAAGTTCAGCCAAAAGCAAGCCATTTGGGAAGCCAAAGGCTGAACTTAGGATCGTAGAAAAATAGGGATGGAAGGCACAGTGGTAGGCCAGCAGTGGGTGTCCACTGTGCTCGACCACCTACCAAGCTCCGAGTGCCACGGGTGCCTCATGTCTGGCCAACCTCCTTCCTAGAGCACACCTGCAAGCCTGGGGACGCTGCTGCCACCACCTGGGGTCTGGACCATTTCTGGGCCCTCTGCTCCCTGGAGTACACAAGCCTCATAGTCCTTGAGGGTGCTTGGCCCACTGCAAGAACTTGGGGTATTCCTTTAGCCTGAAGCACAAAAAGTAGCCTCAACTGGTCATGTGAGCCAAGGGAATAAAAAAAAACAAGGAATGCCTGAACCGTCTCCCAATGAGTCCACCACACTTAGTACAGAGGAGACCTTTACTGGTTACAGAGAGTAGGCTTGGAAAGGGTACAGGTTAGAGAAATATCAAAGAATAACCTTAGAGCAAACAGTATCATCTAAGTAGCTGTTTGATATGTATCTACATTACAGCAAGCTATATCTAATATTATAAAAGCCCAAGTCTGTAGCCAATCAAAGTGCTCCAAGCATGGGGGAGTGCTTCCATGATTCTGAAGCCACACTGAGTACTAGACAGGGGGTGGGGGAGGCTCCCCCACCCTGCTCCCTGCAAGAGCAAGAACAGCAGCAGTATGGGGTGTTCAGTTGTGGTACACCATCCCAGACCACCTTTCTCCTCCCCTGGCCCCCATTATTCTTGATGGGCAATTGGCTACTATCTAGATAAATTCCAAGTAGTTTACTCAGTTCAGCATCCTCAGCATCCTGAGAGAAGGGGAGTTGCAGATGTTCCAGTTGCTGTACAGGACCCGTTCATGTCCTGTAATCTGTTTTCATTCCAATTCTTTTAGCAATTTATACCATGAAACTTCCTAGGTAGTCATGGCTCCATTCTCAACTGTTTCTGTCAGTTTAATGAACTAAGATCTCAACTCCATTACCAAACACCTCCCCTGGCTTGCTCCAGCGTGCACCCAATAAGAAGCTTTATTTCGAGGAGTCTATCCTCCTTTACAGGTTAGAGCATGTGTGATGGAGATGCAATGGCAACAGCAGCCTACTAGTCCCAGCAGCAAAAAATGCTTCTCCCAGAGCTAATCTCTAAGGTAGTAAATAGAACCAGGGGCAGAGACCTGAAAAAAAGACTGCTATTACAATTTCGGAATGACATTTACTTGCTCTTGATGTTAATGTCCTTATAAAACACACCTTCCATGTTCGCTTGATAAATAACTCAAATGTATGAGAAAGCCTGGCTGTTGACACTGGAGGTTCACAATGGCACTCAGCCCTGGCATTCCATGCCCCCTGGTGCTACACAGGGCACTAGCAAGCTACAGGAGAAAAACAAGCACTCGTTGTTCTGTCAGCAAAACATTGCTTTGCTCAAAGTCAAATAGGACCTCATCAAGCTCCCAGCTTTAGGCAAATTTCTTCAGAATTTAAAAAACAAACAACAACAGACACTTTGGCTAGTCAAAATGGGCTAATTTCTGGCTTGCACACAAGCGACACAGAGGGCCTTGTGATATTCATGGTAGCTTCAGTACAAGCACAGTTCCTCCTTGGTTTGTCCCTATACACTAAAATACCCTGTGGTCTTTGATTAAAACAAATGCTTAGTAGGTTTAACATGGCAGAGGCATACAGGGGGTTGTCGGAAGATTAATCAGGTTCAGGGAAAACAGGACAAGCTACACAGACATGCATGGTGTTTTTCAGGGTCTTTCTGTGATGGCCCTGGCTTCTTTTTGAAGCTCATTTTGCTGTACATACTATGCTGATTCATGTGTGGCCTTTTGGTTGGTTAATCAGGCTTTGCTTCTGTGGTTTGTAGCCCATTGCCTTGCATCCCTAAGTTCACACAAGATTCTAGTTTATTTACTAATGATAAGAAACACAGCTCTTAGTGCCAACTTCTGCATCTGTTATGAATCTGTGTGGGGGCACTCATTTTATCGCTATTTCTGGTAGTTCACCACATTTATTTACCAATAAATCTGCCATTTAGAACCTCTCCTCATGCTGTGTGGCCTCCTCTTTCATGTCAGCAAATTAAAAATGTCTGCATAATCTTTTTGCACAGCTCCCTTTGACTGCATTTCCTCATTGGGAATAAGATGGACGCTGGAGCTTGTGTACCTTCCTGTTTAGATTAATAGATTCATAGATGTTTGTATTGGAAGGGACCTCAGTAGATCATCCAGTCTGACCCCCTCCCCTGGCCAGGAAAGAGCACTGGGGTTAGATGACCGCAGCCAAGTGCATGTCTAGCCTCCTCTTAAAGACCCCAAAGATAGGGGAAGAGCACTACCTCCCTTGGAAGCTCATTCCAGATTCTGGCAACCCTCACCGTAAAGAAGCTCTTCCTAATGTCTAACCTAAATCTGCTCTCCGTCAGTTTCATAGCTAGTAGGGTCGGAAGGGACCTGAACAGATCTTCAAGTTCAACCCCCTGCCATGGCAGCAAAAAAGTACTGGGGTCATATGACCCCAGCAAGGTGTTCGTCTAGCCTCCTCTTAAAGACCCCCAGGATAGGAGCCAGCACCACTTCTCTTGGAAGTTGGTTCCAGATCCTAGCCGCCCCGACCGTGAAGTAGCGCCTCCTGATGTCTAATCTGACTCTATCCTCTGCCATCTTGTGACCGTTATTCCTGGTCAGTCCTGGTAGTGCTCGGGGAAGCAGGGACTCCCCCAATGCCTGCTGGTCCCCTCTGACTAGTTTGTAAACAGCCACTAGATCCCCCCTCAGCCTTCTCTTGTGGAGGCTGAACAGGTTCAGGTCCCATAGCCTCTCCTCCAGGGGGCCTGCCCTGCTGTCCCTTGATCATGCGGGTGGCCCTCCTCTGGACCTTCTCCATGTTGTCCACATCCCCCTTAAAGTGTGGCGCCCAGAACTGGATGCAGTACTCCAGCTGCAGCCTAACCAGTGCCACATAGAGGGGGAGGATCACCTCCTTGGACCTGCTCGAGATGCATCTGTGGATGCACGACAAGGTGC